CTCAAAGTACCCACAATCATGGAGAATGAGGTGCACAAACCTCAGAGTTGGTATCTGTTTACAAGTACCATTTTGAATTCAGTAAAGTCATACTTAATATGTTGCAAAGACTTATTATATTAAAAAAAAAAACGGGTTTTGATGCCATTGTTGCAAAAATAAATTCCACCACCATAAGTTCATAAGTTTTATTTCCCAAAAAAGAACGAATTTGACACACTTTATCAGCAGTTTTGGACTGATTTTTCTAGATGTAACATCGAGTCCCAGGTACACAGCAGATTGCATATTAATTTCCCACATTTCTGGAGTCCTATAATCTGTCTTTATTCTCAAATTCTTACTATTCATGACGTTTTGGCATTTTGCATGTACTTTTACTCTACTAATTTACCTATTTATTAAGCATCTTAATTATAGGGTCGTAGAGACGTTTTTCACTTTGGGGGTTCTTTCCTCCTTGCAATGTACTATGTAAAATATGGATCGGAAACGAAAAAAATCATCGCAGTATACGTAAATTTGTCAAAAATTCTGTAGATGATTCAAAGCACCAACTTGTTTATGGCATTGTTTTATACACACACTAAATTTCATGACATAGTATCCTAGATAGGCCTTATAACGTGTTCAAGGGCTATCCGGATACTTTTGGTAAGACATTGCATATTGTTCTCTGAAACTAAAACTAGACTAAATGAATGATATAATTTTGACCTTCACAGAAAACAACCACCAAGTCCTCCTCCTAAGCCTAAACCACCACTTCGTGATCAGGTGCTACACTCCGCCACAGGAGCACACATTTCTACACCTCTTCACCATAACGTCGTATATTCGGCCTACATGCCCGAGGGGAGTTCTAGCCAATTCACTCAACAGGACAACAAAACAGCACCTTACCAGCAACGACAGCAATTTTACAAACCAACTCAGCCTTATACTCCTTCCACGCATAATGATACTGTTTTTCCAGGAAAGAAAGCAGACGACTATTATCAACAACGAGCTGCCCAGCCAGTTCGAGTTCCACTATCCTACCAACAAAAATATACCACTCCTCGTGCCTTTCAACCAACGTATCAACAACCAGCAACAGCAGGTGATCAGCCATCATATAAGCACACAACAAGTGCCACAGTAAAGTTTCAACAACCTTCCACTCCTGCTCAAATTACTCATGTTAGTCAACCAAGCTACCAACAACCGACTTCTCCCAAACTTACTGCTCCTGTTGCTCAACCAACGTATCAACAGCCAGCAAGAGCAAGTGATCAACCATCATATCAACACAAAACTACTACAAGTATCAATCTAAAATTTCAACAGCCTTCCACTCCTCCTCCTCAAATTACTCGTGTTAATCAACCAACCCATGGGCAACCGACTTCTCCCAAAGTTACCACTCCTGTTGCTCAACCAAAGTATCAACAAAAAACACTTGGAATTGCTCAACACAGTTACCAAAGACAAACTCCGATTGCAACATCCACTCAAACGAAAGAAACATCTAAAATGGCTTCTCCTTTATCAGAAATTGAACGTAATCAACGACACTTTCAAGGAAAGATTCCACAAACCCCACCACCTGCACCGACTTCTCAACAAATTCGACAGGAAATCAAACTGACACCCAGTCCAACTTTGTTGTCTCACAAATCTAAGACTTCAGAAGGAATTTGGCCTCCAAAGGTAAACTGTTCCTCATGTCAGCCATGTGATGTATTCATATTAAAAAGTGAAAAAAATGCATTTAAAGTCTGCTATTCTAAATACGTACTCAATAATTTAGTTATCCAACTGTTGTGTAATGTATTTAAGTTTGTCAAGAATATTTAGGTGAACTGATAGTACCGTCATTAAATTACATTAAAAACGTTTCAATGAATCTTATCTTTACGAGAAATAAATTAATTAGATACTTAAAATTTAGCTTTACCTGAAACCTTATAAACTTTCATCCAATATTATAAATCAATCTCTATATTCTCAAAGGTGTGAAAATAATGGGATCTGTAAGAACAATTTAATAAATTAATCTCTTTGCTTGTTATGAATTTCGCGCAAATCTACACGAGGGCTATCTGCGCTAGCCGTCCCTAATTTAGCAGTGTAAGACTAGAAGAGGGAAGGCAGCTAGTCATCACCCCCCACCGCCAACTCTTGGGCTACTCTTTTACCAACGAAGAGTGGGATTGACGGTCACATTATAACGCCCCCACGGCTGAAAGGGTGTGACGGGGATTCGAACCCGCGACCCTCAGATTGCGAGTCGAGCGCCCAAACCATCTGGCCATGCCTGGCCTATAAATTAATCTCTATATACTCACAGGTGTGAAAATAATGAGATCTGTTAGAATCATGTTATAAATTAATCTCTATATACTCACAGGTATGAAAATAATGGGATCTGTAAGCACCATTTTATAAAAACCAAAAGATCACAACATTCTAGATTATTTTGGCGTGGTTCCATGGTAAAGCCCTGAATTCGGTGATGGCTAGCTGGGTTGGAATCCGTGCGATACCACAAAATATTCTACATTTACCTAATTGAATGTGGCCCTATGTTAAAGCTCTGGATTTTGCCGATGGCTAGGTGGGTTTGAATAAATATAGAATATTTTGTGGTATCGCACGGATTCGAACCCACCTAACCATCGGCAAAATCCAGAGCTTTAACATAGGGCCACATTCAATAAGGTAAATATACAATATTTTATGGTATCGCACGGACCTTATTGAATGTGGCCTTATGTTAAAGATCTGGATTTTGCTGATGGCTAGGTGGGTTCGAATCGGTGCGATACCATAAAATATTCTCGTACTTTAAGCTGTGAGTGCTTTATAAGAGTGAAAGTCAATCCCTTCGCATGGATGGTGGAGGATAAGACGAGCTGATTAACAAGCTCCTTCTCTTTGGTTAGTAGTTCAAATTTATGGAGTACGGTAAATAGCTTTACTAGCTTTGCCAAAGTACTAAATACAAATTTACTTTATTTCAATGTTTAAGACATGATTCTTCTATTCTGCAGAACTCCACTGCCCGAGAACTTCCAAGAACAGGATTTCTTCCTGGCTGGGTTCAAGAAAGTGAGTTAAATGTAGACTGATAATGAAATGTCACGTTTAGCAACATTATTATTTTTTTAAAGATGGTCCATTATCAAGTTAAGTATCGTAATGGCTACTGATATCTTTTTTCATATTAGTTACTGTTGGAAAATATTGATAGTCCCTTTGACACAAGTGATTTATCATGGATTTAGTTAAGCCTAAATATCGAAATTGTATTTTATGGATTTAATTAAGCCTAAATGTCGAAATTGTATTTCTGCGTAGTATATTTTAGGACAAAACACAAATTTTCTGGTTTAGTATTTTAAATAAATTTAACAAGAAAAAACTTTTGTTGGTGTTTTTCAACAGAATATCAGCAAATAATTGAAGAGGCTATTTGTTTTTATTTTATTTTATTTTGTTTTTAGGTAGCGAAGGAAAGAAATTGACCTGGCCACCTCTGAAATCTGGAGAGTCGGGTGATGAAATTGGAGGTCGTATCATCCCGGTTTCTCCTCCGCGTGGAGGTGCTGTCCCTAACTCTTGGCATACTCAACCTTTGACCCCCCCTTGTCGCACCCCTCCATTTACTGGGGGACCTCCCGCAATGGGCCGTCGTAAAAATGATATAATATGGCCACCTCCTCAGCCACAAGAGATAACTACTAAGACATCCTCAAATAGGCCTTTGAAGAAAGATCAATGTTTTGAGGATTATATATTTCATCACGCTAGCGTCACCATCCCTCCGACCTATCGACCACCCCCTGGCACTCATCACATACAACCTACCAACGCGTAGGATAGAGTGACATGGCTATTATATGCTTGACATTTGTTATAGTGTTATTGGAATGACCGAAAATCAACACTGTATTAGAGCTATTGCAATATTGTTTCTTTATTATATATATTCTATTAAATGTTACTTGCTATATATGTTACTATTTATATAAAATTATATAATATTCATGTAAAGAAAGTTTATTATTAACATATGGAACAACTAGTCGCACGTTCTGAAGGGAACTTTCAAATGTTTTAGCTTATTGCTTTTTTTTTAAGATTGGCGCGCTTCTAACAAATGCTTGGTTAAATATACAATAGTAAAAGAATTAGATTTTATGGTTATTTTTTAGGCAATTTTAACCATACTTTTAGCTGTTGATATTTCAATTTAAACATAAATAAGATTCAAGTTTCATCACCGAGTAAATTTTATCTGTTGAATATTATTGCAATAAAGTTTATAATATTGAAGGGAAAAAACGTGTTTCCTTAAACGCATATTTCTCAACACAGTAATATTCTTACTTCAATGCCAAACACACCTTGATCTGCCGAAAAGAGGTTTCTTTGAAAGATAATGAATCAAATAGAAAAACAACAAAGACTGAAGATCAAATTCAGGTACACTTTAAATTGTTGGAGGTATATTAAAATGTTCCGTATTCTTAACACCAAATGCTTATCGATTGAATCCTTAAAGCAACGAAACAAAATCGTTGACGTTCCTTAAATATGTTAAAAATCTCAACTGGCTCAACGTCATTAAAAAAAGGAAGATAATTATCAGTTGGAAAAGTATATTTACCATTCGAATTACTGACTTTGTTTTAGACCGTTCCACATTACTGACTTGGTTTTAAACCGTTCTACATTACTCACTTGGTTTTAGACCGTTCCAAATTTTTGACTTGATTTTAGACCGTTCCACATTACTGACTTGGTTTTAAACCGTTCTACATTACTCACTTGGTTTTAGACCGTTCCAAATTTTTGACTTGATTTTAGACCGTTCTACATTACTGACTTGGTTTTAAACCGTTCCACATTACTCACTTGGTTTTAGACCGTTCCAAATTACTGACTTTGTTTTAGACCGTTCCACATTACTGACTTGGTT